CGTCTACGACTTGGTTCAAGTTCTAGTTCCGAGCAATGTGTAGCCAATCAACTTGCAGCTATTCCTTAAAAGGACACAGGCCTTAAGTCTTGTGTCCACGATCCAAGAACTGTGTCCAAGTTCTAGAAAAATGTCTTGTATCTTTTGCATCCGCCCTAGCGGAAAAAATTTCTGTAAATAGTTACAAAAAATTGACTTGAAATAGAAATTTGTAGAAATTGTTATATTTTCGTTTAAACATTAATTTTTTTGCAAAAATATCTACGAAATAGTACCACAAATTACAATATTCTCTAATCAAGAAATTATTGCAAGTAGTATTTCCTGAAAATGTACAATTTTGTAAAAATTAGTACAAAACTTTACTAGTTTTAAAAATTTAAGGAACAACAAAATCTTAAAGAATTAAAACGTCTGCTTACTTGTAGAATATTACAAAAATTATTACAAAAATTTCATACACTTTTTTAAATTTACGTAGAATTTCTTAGATTCTGGCAGTATATTTTTTTTTGTAGAATTTTGTAAAATTATTTCCGGCAGGGCATGGCGAGAGATGTCACATCAATATTTGCAGAAACAAAAAGTGTTTTACAATAGATGCCAGGGATGAAGTTCTTCAATGAATAACAATTGCATAGAATTTTCTATTTCCTCGTTGCTCTTTTCTATAAAATTCACTTTCATCCTTATGTAAGATCTGCGTGATCTCCGTTACTTCAGTCATACGTAGAATTCGCTCGATAAACGACGTACGAAAGTACGGTACAATGTGAGAAAGAAAACGAGCGCGCGTCTCGTTTCGCCAAACGAAAGCAGGTTGCGTTAGTTCGCGGCTGCGTGTGGGAGTAATTTGTGTCTCATGAGTGTGTGTCCTGCGTAGCGGACGATACGGCGCGAAGATGCCGGAGCAAGTGGAAGGTGAATTCTTATCTGGGTGAATTTTACGAGCGTTTTACAGGATCGTTAATTTCAGAAGTTTTATCGTGTATATTCGCCTTGAGCCTCGATTGTATGCACAAATGTCCGCTTTTAACGGCAGCTGCTAAAAGCGGATTGCAAAGTAAGTTGAGCATCGATGTCGCGCTGTCTCATTGCATTAGCGACTTTAATTCATCGAAGCGAGCGTGAGGAGTGTGAGGCTGACTGGTTGGCTAAAGGCCGAATCAGACTAGCAATTGCGGACTCGGATTGGATTGGGATTGGCGATTGTCTTCTAGCCAATGAGAGTCGATTAAATCGCCGGCTGCTTTGCTCTCATTGGCTAGAGGACAATCGTCAATCGCCACTCCCAATCCAATCCGAGTCGGCGATTGCTAGTCTGGTTCGGCCTTAACGATAGCTGATAAACAAATTTATTCGCGTTTTGTTTTTATTTTGTTCAATATCTGTTGGCTTTTCGATTGACCGATATGATAAATATTTCGCGAACATTTTGTATAACGATGAGATATGCTGATTTCGAAAAACTAATTAATTAAACGAAAATTATACACACATACATACATAAATTTTAATTTTTGAAACACGTAAAACTATTAACTGGCGTTACTATTTTTTATTGGGAAAAAGCATAATTCGTCGCTATAAAATTTCTAAAGTTTGAAAGAGAGCGGGTAAGACGGCGTGTAGATTACGGAAAATTTGCCCTGAATATGTTGAGCTTAAGTTTATACATTGTTTCAAAGTGACTGAAAAATGTCATTACGGACCAGCCGGAGGGTCTCGGATTTATGAGGCTTAATTGGCACGTTGATAGGAGCAGTTTTAACGCTCTTAACTTTTCACTTCGTGTTCCCGACCGGATCGCAAGACTCAAGTCACATCCTCATGTAAATTTAATGACGTACACGTGGATACTACTTGTCTGGGTATTAGCGCGATATCCATATTATATCCATATTAATGTCTTCAGGCTGCTTTCCGTGTTAAAAAGTGTCAAAGTGCCTCGAGGAAATTTTCCTCGAGATTTCCGACCTACTAAGACCGGGAGCACTTTAACGACGTTAACTTCATATTTCCATTAAACGGTACATTATTTTGTATAAATTATCTCGTCGCGTAATTATTGTCCTCTGTTTCATGTAGACGTCGTAAACGTATCTCGTACACGTCAGTTCTAAATTTCGTAATATAAAAAATATCAGTAACTCTCTATTGCAAAAAATATGATATATTAGTGACGTTATAAAATAAAAGAGATTACAACAATATCCGGCGAGATGCGTCTGTGCTTCAAGTTACACTTAATTTAAGGAGGATTTTATGCTGTATGTCTTTCAAAAGAATAAACATGAACGCAACAAATCTGAATTGCAAGAGATAGTGTGTTTCGACATATACATAATTCAGAATTGCGCGCATCCGACACGCGGATATTTACGTTGATTCTTTCAATCAAGATCGTCATAATATTATCATAAATCGACCTTATTTTATGCTACGCGTTCATGAGCTCGCGTTGAGAATATTTAGACGTTGTAAGCTATATCAATTTAAACGCCTTTTTTTACCCCCAGTAATTAGCGTTGAGTTTTTCTACTCATTCGAGCCGCATCCGTGCAGCTTTCCACGGAGATTTCAGTAAGCCAATTACCGAGCAATAAGTATGCCCTTTAACGACGTTAACTTTTCATTTCGTTGCCCCGCGGGTGCGACACTCGTGGCTAATTCTCATGTTTAATTAATGAGACGTGTACGTACGAACGCATCACCTCTCTCTCTCTCAGGTGCAGCCCGTGCAACACGATCGCGCTTGTTCGCCGTATCCGAAGGGGGGCAACGCGCGTAAAGGTGCGTGTAAAATAAAAGGTGAAAAAATTAGCCGGCGCGCATTTTCTTACGAGTCACCAGCTTTCGTGTCGAGTCACGCTTTGACGATCACATTACAGGCTCCGTTAATTTCTTCCACAGAAATGAGCTGTCCCGCAAGCCGATTCTACGGACCTTCCATTTACGATGCGAAATTAACGTTAAGATCGAGCATCGATAAACGATAAAGAGAACGGAACTGCTAATAAATTTTAGCTATGTTACTGCATGTGCGGTAAAATGTGATGGAATTGGAAAGACAAGCTTGTTATGAATGCGCTCAGTTATAAATTCACGAACTCTTGTTTTATATCCTGCATATTATACAATCAAACTTAACTTATACTGCGACAAATGTTGGAAAATTTTTGCAGTCTATTATTTTACAGTGGCTATTTTCTACTTGCGCATTTATATGGTAGACCATATGGGATCATATACAGATGCAATTCGCGTTGCCCTTTAATTAAATGATGTTACAAGCACGATCTCTAACTGAATGACGTCACCATCCCCAATTTTTATACTTCTGTGATTTCTGCCAACTCCGCCGTGTCTAATTTCCTTTTGGTTCGATTCTGCTAATGTTAGAATAATCGTTCCAATATATTTCGTATATCAGGAATTGCATTCGTGTGCTACATTTACAGGTCTGTTATATTTTCAGCGAGTGTGTGAAATTTTAAATACATTTTCAAAGTAGTTTTTCCCCCAATATTGAAGCGCATCAGAAATCGTCGTAAAACAGCTGCTATTTTTGGCTCGCCAGTTTTTAATCGTGATACTTGGAAAAAATAGAGAGCAATGATCTTTTATTACACGAACAATGTCACTCAACTTTCTTTTGCACAAATTTATTTCTATTCCTTCCCACGCGTCAGACGGCGAACAAAGAGATGGCTCACTTCCAACAACTATAAGCAGCATCCGGTTTTATTCCTAACATCTGCCTTTTCACGAAAGATTTTAAATTTCAGTTATCATCTATATCACGTAAAACTCATATGAATCTTCACTCTTAAAGATTTCGCGATATCTTTTGCATGGACAGTCGTCATCTCGCTTATAACTTAAGACAACGGCACACGATTTAAACGATACTACATATTTTTCCTACTGGATTGCTTACGAGAGCCAATCAGGATTTAGCCTTGAGTCACCTGATCTAAAACTCTGCATCCTTATTGGTTCACGTAAGTCCCAGTCAATAGATGATTTAAGCCCTAAGCCTTAAGAAATTGACCAATCATAGTCAAGTATGAGTAGAATACGCGACTGTGATTAGTCAGTTTCTTAAGGCTTAGAGTTTAAAATCTCTATTGTAGATGGGCACTAAGCAATCCAGCAGGAAAAACGGTGTCATGTGCCGTTGGCTTTACTGCTCGCCATTTAGGCGAATGTATCGACATCGTTATTCTAATTGACTCTATTATTGCACAATTGAACGCTCAACGTCACTCTACGACGACATCGGCAACACAGTCCGGGTTAATCAACGTGCTTCTTTGATATGCTTAACGAGCCTTTTCTTGAGCATCGACGACAGGGGAGCGCAAAAAAGGTCCGCGTAGCAAAAAACGGCGCGCTCGCTCGCCCGGACTCCCGAGTTCGCTCGTTCGCTCACCCGCTCGTCCTCGTGAATTCGTAAATTCGCGGAGTAAGTTCGCGGAGCTGGGACCACCCTTCTCCGTTTCGATGGCACTTCACCCCTTCCAGCCAGGTCTCGCTGGACCCTCTCTTTCTCCCTCTCCCGACGATCCGCTTCGCTGTTCCATCTCGAGGAGAGCGAGCTGGAAGTGGGAGGCCAGTATCACCGCCCGCTCCACCCTGCTACCTTCCCTCCCCTCCCTTGCCCCGCGCTGTACCCTGCCTCTGCTCCCATGCCTCCCACCATCGTCGTCTTCCGCGCGAGGAGCTTGGGCGCCCCCTTCCCCCCGTCCGGACTATAATGAAAGATATTAACTACAATTTTATATCGAATTACCGCTGAAACACATTTCAAATTACTTGGGCGTAGCCGTGGCACATAGCGGAGGCGCCGAAGTTGCTCCGCTCGGGATTGGCGGGATGCTTAACGGCGACGAGCGGGATTGGCCCGGCCGTGGCGGTGGTGGGGCGAACAGGGGGCGTGTCGGAGTCCCGATATGGCCGCCCAGGAACGAGCGGAGGTGACTGCCGTCCTCAGTACAGGCAGACCAGTCGTGGCGACTCGATGCACACGCACGTCTCGCGTGCACGACTACGTTCTCAGCCCTGGGCAGGCCGAGCGGAGCGATTCTTCCGTCCGGCGAGGACGCGGACTCCGCATCAGATCGAATTTTACTCCGGAATCCAGCAGCCGGAAAGGCGCGCTGCCAACCGGCAGATTTCCCGCGACGGATATTCAATTTGCAGACATTTGTCAGGGTTTGGCTCGACTCTGCCCAAAGTGAACTGGATGGTATAACAACGTGGCAAAACGTGAACGACGTGTTGTCAGGTGACAGTGCAATCCGAAGAACAGTGTTGATAGACTGTATATCGCCGATTTTTGAGGTCGGTCATCGTTGACGAGAGTCTTGCCGCGAGAGTGATCAATCCTGGCACGCGTGACAAGCGAACCGGCTGAACATAGAACACTCTCAAAACGGACGTGGTCGAGGTAGACCAACCTGCTGGACCGATCGGACTTTGGTAGAAGTGATCGCTCGTTCATCAGACACAATTGTGACCTGCGTCGAGAGCGGGCTAACGTGAAAATAAAAAAGTTTCTTTAGAGATATCGCGTGTATTTCATGGTTAAACGGCTGCGTGGCGAACGGTCCCGAACTTGCTTCTGCCTTCGTAGGCGAGGTACACGTCGACGCGCGCGTAATCGTGCAAAAGTGAGAGGAGAACGTGCCACGAAGAGTCTTATATAAAAATAATTAATAATTGAACGCGCAAGGAAAAGGAGAAAAAGAAAAGCGGAAATGGCCGACGGCTCCGCTCTTATGCGCGGCAATTATGTTAAGTGGCCAATTAGCAATTAACCAGGGAGCCGTGCCGAGCGGCCCCTTAATTGCGCCTGGGAAGAAGGTGGTGGCGGAGGTGGAGCGACCGAGTTGAGCGGGAGGAAGTGCAAGGTGCACCACGCATCGCGACGCAAATATCTGTCTCACGCGCCATTTGCTCCAGATTTTTCCGAACGATCGTCGCCTCGGTCGACTTTTTAAATCACCCTCGGGCCGCTGGCGGTTTCAAGACCCTGGCGCCGCGGCACGCGGGCACGAGTCCCGAAGTCCCTGAGGCCGAGCTTCATTGGGGGTTACCGGCATTCATGTTCTCGACGCGATCGCCCGTCGGGGAACAGATCTCTTGACCCGCTCGTCAGGAAAAGCAACCCCTCGATCGCGACGGATCCTAAGACTGAGCGTCGAATGATGCCGGACAACGCGCCAATCGTACGCGCGAGAGACGAGGAGGAGTGACATTGGGTCTACCGAGGATACAGTGAAGTGAAGTTGAAATAAAGTGAGACGGCACGATCTCTCTTCCTGGGTCAGACTACGTCGTCATTGTCGGCAAGATTCTGTCTCCCAGGTACCGGGCGAGTCCTGGGGTGGCGACAGAGGCACCTGCAGGTGCCCGTAGCCCGAAGGAAGCACCTGCGTCTACCGTGATGACGGTCCATCATCAACAGAACCACCACGTGGCCGCTCTCAGTGGCGTCGCCGTGGCCAATAACGGTCTGAATCTCAGCAGGATGTCCGGCCTGGAGGCGCATCGGCTGGAGAACATCGTCGATAGGAACGGCATGGCGGTGGAGCGTCTCTCCAACGGGCTGGACTCGCGGAGCAGCAATTTGAACAACAACAACGGCTTGGAAAGAGGCGACGCCTCGACGACGATGCCGCAGAGGTCGAGGTTTATGATCACCGATATTCTGGGCGGTGCGTCCAGCAAGATGCACCAATCCGGGCTGCCTAGCCAGGAGCCACCCGGAAGTCCACCCTCGACGCCGCGGGACCTCAGTGTCAGGCATCAGTCCAGAACGTCCTTGAGCAACAGTAATCTAGACGAGGACAGCGACGCCAGCCACCACGACGGCGCTTCCGTTACGTCCAATGGTAAATGACGCTTTATTACACGCTTTCGAAACCGTGCTCGTCGCTTGGTACAACGACGTGATGAAGCCGGGGCGATATCGGGATATACATATAACTCTCTTAGGAATACCTCCAAGTCTCTCTCTCGACCCTTTTATAGCGCAATGCTTTTTTTTGTTTTCAAGTCCTTGTTGATTTCTTTCAGTAATAGAATGCACGTTGCACCGTTGAGTCTCTTTAAATTTTGCAAGCGGGACTCGTACACGGAGAGAATCGTCTCTTAAAATTTACCCTGAAAATTATGCAATCGTGGGACAACGTGGCATTTTGAGCAACTTCGTGAGTTTTTTTGAAATTTTACCATACATTTTTCTAGTAACTATACTTAGCATACATTTTACTAGTAAAATGTATGGTAAAGTTTAAAAAAATTCATAAAACTCCACGAGATGCCGTGTCGTCCCACGATTACGTGACTTTCGGGGTAAATTTTCAGGGAAAATTCTCTCTGTGTATGCCCCAATGGTCACGAACTTGGTCCCGAAAGGAAGACACGTGTTAAATAAGAAACGAGAACGTCAAATTCTAGGTCCGAGCAAGGTGTAGGCAGCCCAATAATTTTAGTCTAATATGTGAATTCATATACTGCGTTTTCCACCTGTCCTGCGCGCCGTTACTTTAGGACATTTAACACATTTGATTTGTATCACACTGGTCCTGACTTAACTCTATTTGTTTAAGTCACACGTCGATAAAACGTAGTCGCATTACCGAGATAGGAGCAGTTGAATTTGTGAAAGACTGTACTGTAGAAGGAATGAGATAAAGACGAACAGAGAACAGAGGTAATTCAAGCAACGAGATGTGAGACACGCGATAATTATTAAAAAATTGTCAATCAATCAATAATCATTCTTTATCAAATCTTTTCTATATCTCGCGAACAAGTAATTCGAATCCGATGTCCGCTCCATTCTCCTCCATCGCCCGCCCATAGATAAACAAGATACTTTCATTTCTACGTGGCTCTCAAAGTACGCAACGGAGAGAGAAATAAAGAAATAAGAACATTACGTGTTTTTGCCTTCATCGATGACTAAAACTGCCACTTGGCTGAAAGGTAGTCAAACGATAGCCCGCAGTCGCGTCCGTTACGAAACGTGCGTATTGTGATTTCGTTTATTCACCTGATCGCTCGGGTGGACTTTCACGAAGATGTCAAGGACACTCGCGGGACACGGTCCTTCCCGACCGGATGTCCCAATCGGTGAGATCACGTCGGCCGTCGCTGGCTGCGCGCATGGAGAACGCCTCTTTCGAGAATCAGATATATCTCCGCCGAGATAAACGTCTCTCTCTTCCTCTGCGGGGCTGCTGTGCCCCAGTGCGGCCGACAACGTTTAGGAATTCTAATGGTTCTAAATTGGCGCTCGGCATTCGAAAGCTTTAATTATGTTACCCTCATTTGTTTCATTCATCTTTTCTACCTGCGCCCCGGTGTCCTCCGGAGTTCAATCCCTCGGGCCGACCGAGTGCCGAGTTGTCGTAACTTCTTTGACCGAACGACGCCGAATTTCGTAAGAAATTCGAGCCACCGGTGTTACGCAAAAGCGCGCGCTCGCGCACGCACGTCGGGGGCTCGCGAGCGCAGCGTCGGAGGATCGATTTTTAATTACGGCGAAACTTTCACGTTAATTACCCGTAAGACCGCGCGGCTACGCGGGTGCGCAAATTATTAACTTCGTGACGCGAGGATATAAATGTAAATATAATGCTTGTTTGAAAAGTGTTATACTCGCTACTCGATTTCTACTCTAATAAACGCGCGCGTCGCTACAAACCGCGCACGGCAAGAAATCACTCTAGGCAGAGTGATTGATCGAAGTAGACCCTCTTTCTAATTGGGTTCGCCGTGTTTCCTCAAAACCGGAAGTACGTTATGTACCATAAACTAAGTTAAAGCTTTTATTTATAAAAATTACTAAGAGTTGCATGGCATTTGCGAATTTATACGAGACACAATATGCCACAACATTTTTTCTAGCTCTTCTTCAAAATTACATCGATTTTGACGATAGTGTCAACCGTTTGATCATCCAAACACATCCGAAACATCTTCGTACCGTACACAGCAATGATGTACTTCCGGCGGAAAGTCCTTTTGAGGACTTATGGCGGACTCAGGGGAATTGGCTAATCTCCACCTTGAATATCTAGGCAGAGATTAGCCAATTCCGTATCTCTACGTGTGGCGAGATCGCTGAGAACACAGACTTCTTTATGCTATTAGACTGCTACCTCCGAGCTGAAAAGTGAGACAAGAGTTCCGCCACGTCTTGTTAGGTAAATAAAGTTCGCGTGTCACTGATAGACCGATGCACACATACTACTTTATTTACCTAAGGCCAGTTCTACATTGATCATATCGTCGCAAGCGTCGCAAATCATAGATTCGACCGATCAGCGTTGAATTAGAACCAGTCTACGACTCTTGCGACACTACGATGCGACCAATGTAGAAACCGGCCTAACGAGACATGGCGGAACTCTTGTCTCACTTTTCAGCTCGGCGTAGCAGTCCAGTAGTTTATATAGAAGCCCGTGGCTGAGAGCCGCGCGGGTCGCGGCGTTTTCTCTCGGAAACTCGTCGGCAGGTGCTATTAAGGTGACCCGTGCCGAGCGTATCGGCACAATTTCCGTTAATTCGCAGCTTCTTCTCCCCGGGCCCGAGCCGTCCTCCTTTTCTCCCCTGGGCTGCTTGTTTTTAAACGCGACGCTCGAACGAAGCCGCTCGCTATAACGACTAAGCCGGCTGTTTGTTCCGTAATCGGCTTATTTCCTCAAAGAAGCGCATTAGCGACAATTACGCGGACGACGGCGATGTGATTAGACGCGGCGGCGGCGGGCAGCGGCGGGTAACACTAATACTGCTTCCGCGGCTAACTAAATCCGGCGCTCCTTCCTTGTGAAAACATCGGCGGGCTGTTAAGGCGCCAATTTTTCCACGACATTGACTCGCCGCGACGGCTCGCACCTTGCACCGCGCCGCTATTTATAACTCCCCTTAAGTGTTTCACGGACAAGACCAATGACCAGCCCCGGCGCGGCGTTTGGAAATCTCGAGAGTCACGTCATGGTAATCGATAATCGTCGTCCTTGCCGCGCTACGGTGACACGGGGGAGGGAGGGGGGGAATAGGGAAAAGTGCCCGCGATAAGGGATATACTTGCCGGCGGGACCGCGCGACATGTACGTGCGAACGTGGCTACGCTCGCTGCTGCCCTTATGTTTTTGTTGCGCCTTGGACTGAATACACGATCGCCTACCGAGGAGCGTTAGCTATAGGGAAACGTCATCCTTCGAGATTGCTCAAACGCATTTTCAAAAGGCAAACAGAGAAGTCCGTGCAAACTCTTTATGCGATACTAAAATGGCGCTCTTTGCATCGAGCGATAAATATTGTGTGACTGACCAAATAGTTAGGCGCAACGTAGAGGGCAATAAGAGCGAGACGCTAGATGTTAGGTGCGGATATAACAAATTCTGTGTTATTTAATAGAAATTAACAAGTCAAACGTTTCGACCAACTCATGAGGTCCTCTTCAATGACGATCATATATGAAAAAATACAGGGTCAACATATTGTTATGTGTTATAACGGCCGCAGTTAGTATATAAAGAGAATGTCACAGTATACAAAATCTTATCAATTACCATCTATAATTTTATTTTTTATACTGTGGACCACATAAGTTGGTCGAAACGTTTGACTTGTTAATTTCTACTAAATAACATAGAGTTTGTTATATCCGCACCTAACATCTAGCGTCTGGCTCTTATTGCCCTCTACGTTGCGTCTACTATTTGATTTTAATATTTTGCGACGGCCAAAACGCGGGATGAATATTGTCATCGGGCAGTGAACGTTTTCAAATAACTTTCATTACTTATTTCTTTCACCGCGTTTCGCCACAATTTTTTATTAATGGCTCGTACATTTGAAATGTAATTCTTTAAATAATAACAAAATAGTAGCATCTAAGCCACTGGCCAATTATTAACGGGTTTACTAGTATATCGTCAGCGCATTGTATTCGGCTTTAATCAGATTTGTAGACGCGAAGAACGTAATGTCGACAAATACTGCTTGCTCCGTAACGAATATCGATGACAGAAAGTCACAACAAAGTATGACGTCCATTAGAAAGCCATTTAGTTACGTGATCAAGTTTTAGTATGTCTACGCGTTACGAGCATCGACAAGTCCCCTACATTTATTCATAAATGATAATCTCTGTAACGCTTGCTTATTGCAACGCGTAGGACCAGCTTTTCACAGCGAACGAAGACGCAGTCCACATTTCGTCGCGAGGACTACGGCGAAAATGTTAAAAGCGAGCTAACTTCTTAGAAAGAGACACAGCCGCTCATTCTTAACATTGTCACTATGTCCAATCAATCTTTATCGCGCTTTAACTTACATGCCAAGAAGTGGTACTTGGTTTACAATTATGTCCTTATCTCATGCTCACTCTCATTCATTGCTTCCTCCATTCCCGCACCGCATTCTATTACTGCACTCTTAGAAAGGATTTCTGTTACCGAGACAAAAATATTCTTGACGCATTTATATTTCTCACAATCTCATTTAGCATAAAAATAAGACGATATCAAAATAAAATCAACAATTCTTATTCTTCTCTATCGAATTAAAAAAGATTAACTTACTATATTGAGAGACAAGAATAACTTATACAAATGTAAGTTTATACATTCTTGCGTTTAGAATAAATTTTCCCTCCGTCTGCAACGCACGAAGCTGGCACCGCGATATTCGATAAAAGACGATACATACTATTGTTTTATTTTAGATTTGAGAATTTTTCATTTAAGATTAAAGTATTCCTTTCTCTATAATAAATATGATTGGCGCTATATCGATCCTGTTTTATGATACATTCAAGTGTAATAACATTGAACCCGGAAATTTTTTCTGTGGGTGTGCCTACTCTGCACACACC